TTAAATACTCTAGGAACAATAAGTAGGCCTGCAGTGCAAGAGTGAAGTGCTCTAATAGGCTGATATGGTACTACAAGGTCCTTAAGATTTACTCACCTGGTTCTTCCTCTTTCTCTCCATCCTCCTCACTCCTTCATTCCACTGATAATCATACACAAACATTGTATACAACTACTTTGATATCAGTATAATACACTATTTAGTTATGTGAGTCATCAACAATAAATGTGGGAAAAACAGAAGTTGAAGCTTTAGAATATTTTGCTGTTACATGTTGCCTACATGTCCACTGTTATCTGTTTATTTCTGCTCTCTCCTTTTCTCTCCCTCTCTATCCTCCTCTCTAAGACTTTGTGCCGTCATCCAAAAGTTAAATGTTAAACTCAGTTGTTATCAATATTACGCAACACCAGGGGTGTAATTTCCAGGGGGGCGGTTAGGGGGGGTTTATGACCCCCCCCCCCATCAGCTAAAAAAAAAAAAACCCCCCAATAAAATTATGAATTATCTCCAATAAATAAGCTGTTGATTTTCTTTCTTTACTCATTTCAGGTATTACCCATTTGATGTTTAATCATATGGGAATTTACCCAGATTTATTTATTTATTTAGACAGAGATCTTGCCCCCCCCCAACAAAAGTTCAGCACAAAGTTACGGCGATGTGCAACACTGGATAGTTTTCACTCTATCCTGTGTGCAGTAGATGAGTTGGCATATATAACATTAGAAGACAACATACTATTGCTACAGTTATTTTTAGGGATGCTGTAATTAAATTTAAGGGTGCAAAGGACCAAGAACACAGCTCAAATTCCTCTGATATCACATGGTCACGTGGAAACTTTTGGTAGTTTCATCATTTCCCATGATTGTAAATACAAAATCTTACCCAGTGGTTAGAAAAAAATATAGAAGTCTGTATTTGAATTACAGTGCACAAAAATGTCCCCTTTTCATTATTCCTGTGCAATTTGTACATTAAACAGGGAGTAAATTATGTTATAGATGAACGGTGATTATGAAACCTTTTAAAATTAGTGTAGACTTTTTTATTTGTTGTTATTAGTGGACATTAGGGCTCTACAGTTGCTGTATTTGATGACATTTATATAAAATTTGAACAGTAAAGGCCCAAGAACAGAGACATGTGGCAGTTCATTTCTAGCTAGTGAATATTTGGCAGTTTCATTCTTTTCTGTCACTGTCACATGTTGTTTTTAATATACTTAAACAAAACCCATTATGGATGCCAAACAATCAGATGAAAGGAAAAAAAGTTTTTTGTAGACTTCAATTAGTTAAAAATGTTTGTAAACATTTCTGACCTTTTACATATAAAAAAAATACAAAGATTGTTCTAAATGAAACACTTGATGGATATATTCCCACTGAAATGTTTTCACAATTTTATCTTATTTTATCTAAAAACCTGACCTGTATATGGATCCTGATTGGACTGATGATGACATGCTGACAACACTGACAACAACAACAATAGAAAACTGAAAGTGTTTAATGTGACTTTATAGAAATAAAAGCAAAAACCATAGAGAAACAGAGGTTCTGTTTTACAGGAAACAGGAAGCAGCTGAGAGCGAGGCTGAACCGTCACAAGAAAAAAAAGAAGAGGGGTCTTGAACCAAAGTTGTGACGAAGCCTAGGAGAAACCGGAAGTAAATGCAGTCTACCTTCAAAATAAACATATAAGCAGAGGACAAGAGTGGAGAAAGGAATTTGGTTTGATATTAAATAAACGTGTTTTGAATGGCTTCTAGGGAGTAAAATACAAAAATACAAAGTCTCATCAAATCATACTAATCTTCAGGTTCATGGTTACAGTTAGTTAATATAAACATAGCATTTTTGTTTGTGTTTAGTTGTTAATTTAGCTGTTCATAACAGAATTTTTATTATCTTCTTGTGCTAGGGCATTTCTAGACATTAATTTGTTTATTAGCAATAAAGACTTCTTAGCTGGTTTCTTCAATAGTTCTATATTTTTAACTATTTATTACTAGTTAGTTACCAGGTATTAATTATTAGTGTTTTGTATATATATATATATATATATATACATATACATATATATATCTATCTATATATATATATTGCATATGAAGGTGTCTTTATTTTGAAATTCTGAAGAAGAACATCAGTTCTGTGTTGTATTATATTTATTTCATTCTGGCTGCTTATTGTCATCTTGTGTTTTTTTTTCAATTATTTTCACACCAGTAAATTTATACAACTTTTTCTCAGCATTTTGTACTCAATGCTCAGAGGAAAGCTTTATATTGAAAATACTGACATGAAATGCCTGTGTTTTGTTTCCTGCTGAAAATAATTTCCATGCTATTTATGCTTGAATCATGTTTTTAGTTAATTTAAATCAAGGCTCACTTTAAAAAAAAAAAAGTAGCTTTCAGCCATATCTCACTATCGTGGCCCAATTCAAGTATACAGAGCTACCTGCGGTAGCAACACCTTGTAAATAAGCTGTCACTATTTGTCATTCCAACATTATATTTCTTTATTTATTAAGGTATATAAATTTCTAGTTATTTAATGATTTTTTTTCCAAATCGTTTTTATAAATAAAATATATCTTATGTTATCTTGTCTAAAATAAAATATAACAACAGAGATATCTTAATAATGTATAATGAAATCCAAATTATCTGAAATTAAAGTAAGAATAATATGTTATTTATATTTATTTTATGACTTTATGATATAATAATGTATAAAAAACCCCTCAAGATGAAGCAGAATTATATGTTTAAAACTACAATTTATTTCATATTTGAACCAGTTTTTTCACGTCTTTTATTTTGAAAAGTCGGACAGGAGGCTCTTGCGTTCGCCGCGTCGAGCTTAACGTCAGCGCGTCGGGAGCAGGAGGGAGCGGCTCTGGTCGAGCGACGTTCACTGCGAACAGGAGAGAGAGTGAGCGGCGGAGAGCGCAGCGGAGCGGACGGGTGGATGACTGTGAGTACTGCTTCTTTTCTCCCGTTTCTCGCTTTTACCTCTTTTTCCTCGCTTCCGCCTCCCGTTTCCTCCCTCTTTCATGTAGATGTGAGCTAGCCTGGGTCGAACCGGGAAATGTCCCGGCTAGCAGGGACGGGAGACAGGCCGGTCGGGAGCCGTGCTGGGCTGGGTTTGCGGAAGCAAGCGACCGGCGGACAGACAGACGGATGGACGTAAAGGCAGACAGACGGACGGCGGCTGTCCTGATGAGAATACAGTTTATATCAGACACGGGCTGACTGCTTCACGACGTCACGGCGGCTGTCTGTCCGTCTGTGAGTCTGTTTCCGGTCTGTAGAGCCCGAAGTCCGCTTCTGCTCGCGTTTTGTCTCCGCTCTTCTGAGGCAGCGGGGTCTGCTTGCGGAGCTTCCCGGGTAAGGAGCATTGTGAGGCGGCCACAGAGCTGCGGAAGCCCCGTTGCTCTCCCGGAGGCAAAAAAAAAAAAAAGAGTGGAAGTGATTGATGAGAGGATGCAGAGTTTGGGAGCTTGAGGGAACCTGCAATCAAAGCCAGTTTGGTTGCAAAACACTGCTTGGTTTTATTCCTCTCCTGTTGTACTGCCTGTCAGCAACACACACACACACTGAGTATTGACAGGCCCCACCTAGTTCTGCTTGACTCAGGGATCTGTGCGTATTGTGAGTCCATCTTTCTGCTCTGACAACTTCACTTTAGTAGATTAACATTATTCAGTGATTGCTGGAAAAAGCAGAAGTGCCCACTGAGTGAGCAAAATACTGAAATATAAGAATAAAATGCAGGTTTCAGGTTGGGTTGAACTGTGTGTATCTGTGCAGTGACGCTCTGGTAACTAAAGATTAATGTATTTATAGCCTATAAATTAAGGCCAGCAGTCTATGTTGATAACAGCAGATCCTCTTTTTGTTCACATGTAAACAAAGCAAACAGGAAACACTGATGTGAAGTATGAAGTTTCAGGTTAAAGTCTTCCTTTCAGTCAACGTGTATGTGGTACAATCACAATACAACATAAAAGCCCTCAGTGACGCCTCATTTTACAGTTATATAATAATTTGCTGTGTAGTTTGATTGTTGTTGTTCATGCATTAAGTCTGAACTGCAGTTAAACTTAAACAGACCCACAGTGAGGGTTTATTTATAAGTAAATACACTCATAGTGTGCAGAAAGGGCAGTATTTCTTTTTTGAATTGTTACAAATTTGGACTATAAGGAGATAATGGAAGCTTTCTACTTCTGTGTATTGTTGGGACATGACTGTGTGTTGCTTTCTCCACAGACTGTATAAAAGATGGTGAAGGCACCATCGTTTGTGTTTTGTGGTCGTTTTGGAGATATTATTGGAGTCCAGTTCACAGACTCCAATTAGCTGAAGCCACCTGCCTCTCCATCTTTCTATAGTGAAAACAGTGTCTGTTTGATATTAGGGAAACTGCAGCTTTTTTGGTACTTCAGGTTAATTTTCCAGGTCCCGAGGTTCCTGTTTGGCACTTCCTCTGGGTTTGATGCCTGTGGGTGTGCCAAACCAGGTTTAGGCAGCCTGAGCTGTAATGGCAAATATTTCATGAGCAGCAGTGGTTGGTAAGAGCAAATCAGCTGATTTTCTTTAAGAAGTTTAAGAGAAGAGTGTGTCTATTTTAATTTGCTCACTTTGCTCTGACCCAGAAGTGGATAAGTGGAAGTATATGGATGGATGGATTATGAGAGCTTTTTAAATTAAAGGACTTTCTGAGCCTTAGTTCTGATTTATTGGAAGACGTGATGATCTTTTTCTTCCTGCTGTTGCTGTGTGTCTGTGCATATTTCTGTAACGTCTCATTATATTTCGTCATAGCACAGCATCGTGAAGCATGAGGGGGGAAGTCCCGATGCAGGTGCTCTCCCGCAGAGGCAGGTTTGTGACAGGGGGACTTGTAAATGTCCAGAGATAGGGCTTCAGGTGTGATCGAAGGGTTTTAGATATTTTGGCTCATCCAACTTTCCCCTTGATGGCCTCACCTCTGCTGCTCCAGTGAGTGACTTCTCGCGAAGCGTTGAACCCGTCTGGACTTGCTGCAGAGCGTTGTAGTGAGGCAAGCCTGTTCAGACCCTCAGGCGATGAAATCCATTACTGCTGATGCCTTCACTGACAATAGGGTAGATAAAACTTGAGATTTGAACTCCTCCCAGTCTCCACCTGATCAGTTGTGTGCATTTAGCTCATTTATACAGCTGTTGTGACTGGAGATGGAGACATTTAACATTTTTAGGGTTTTTTAGGGGGTTTTCTGTGACCCATACACCACGCTAGTTTTTATTTAAAATATGAACAAAAGCCCTGAACAATAAAATCCACTGGGAGTCGTTCTCTTCTTGTTTCTTGTCCCCAAAATAGAATAGATAAACTCTGAAAATAGGATTTGGGCAAAAGTTTCAAGCAAGAGTACTCACTGAGTGTGATTTGTCACGACAGGAGTCTTGCAGTGACTTAAATATTAATATAACTACATGAAGACATTAATAGTCCCACTATTTGAGATAACGGATTTACCTAAAAATTGTAAACACTTGTTGCCTCCAAAATATTAAGCAACTTTAACTTAAGCTGAATGTTTGATGGTAACTTGTTTATTATAAGTGTTTATTCTCAGATTGGTTACCAAAAATAAAAGCTTTAAATTTAAGAAGCACTTTGTCCTGAGTTAGTCTTGTCTTGGGTCAGTTAAGAGTATTTGTGACACAGTATTTATGTTTTTGTTGTTTTCCTGTGACCCGTACACTGCACAGTTACAGAAACCAAACTTTCATGCATGCGATTCCTCTTTTATATCCCTGCAGCCTCTAAAATTAAAGTAACAGCTTCTGGAGACCTGATCTAGCATGGTTTCAAGGTTGCAAGACTTTTATCCTTCTTTTAAGTCACCTTTGTTCTGATTGGCTGCCCCTCGTAAACAGAATGTATGAACCACAGACAGGATACGAGAAGGGTGTAGCCAGTGTTACATCACCAGCTGATCAGTGAAGTCTCGTAATGAAACCTCAAACTTGTAATGAAAAAACAGAAGCCTGTTTGTGGCGAGGAGCCGCCCCCTGGTGGTCAATACATTTCTGGTTTTAACAGCAGGCAGGTTGAGCTCTGGAGGCTGAGATGATCAGATTAGGGATATCTGCACTCTATGACATCACAGAGATCTGATAATAGTGGAAACTGTCTGAATCAGAGTGTTTAGAGTGCAAGCTTTTGGCTCATGGGGCTTATTTGTACATATGCTGACCTTATTAGAAACTTGGCCATGTTTAATATGAACATCCACCATCGGAGCAGGAGATATGTGGCAGGGTATAAGGGTCGACTTTAAATATTAGATTACACCTGGTGTTACTCATTTATAGAGTCTTTTCTGGTTGTCAGTTAGTAGCTGTATTTGTGTTGTTTACAGGCTGTGATGGTAAAATTTGAAATGGTTTTAGGGTCTGTAAACACATCGTGTCAGCGGGGGTCCTCATGAACAATCTTAAACGTGTGTGTATTTGGGTGTGTGTGTGTGTGTTTGTCCATCGTGTTGCTTCTTGTTGCCGTGACAGTGAAGGTTTGCACACACACGGCGAGGAATGATTGGTATGCATCCACACACTGAGACATGAACGCATAGCAACAGTAACCAGGAAGGATTCCATAGCAGTGACATCACCACCAGCTGTGAGATCATGTGACTCCGCAGTTTTCAGTAACTTACCCATGCATGCTGGGTAATCATTATCTCCCAGTGAGGGGCAGGAAGTCTTCATTTGTGTGTTTGTAATTGATGGTGTTACATCTCCAGGTGCATCATAGGAGGAGGTGGGGCTTACTGTAATCCTGCTGTGTGATTGGTAGCTGTGACTGGATGTCCAATAGCGACCTGTTAACGGTCTCCTCCTCTGTGTTTGTTTCTCTCACCCAGCAGACAGACAGTCAGGATGCGTGAATACAAACTGGTTGTTTTAGGATCAGGAGGCGTCGGCAAGTCAGCTCTGGTAAGTAAAAAAAAAAAATCCACGTTAATCAGCTGTTTGCATTAAAGTGAGAGTCTGATGTTATTCTATTTAATGTCAGTGAGTGCCAAAAAAAATGAACACTGAATCAACACTGAAATTATCCTGCTGATGAGTTTAGAGCCACATGGCAACACCTTGTACTTTATTTTAACTCAAATATTCAATGTGGATTAATCCGCTGCTGAAAATAGTCCCCACCAAAAACTAATAAAGAAATAGAAAAACTGAAAATAAATACTTGTAATATTTAAATAAACCCCCCACTGAAATAGTGACAAATATTTATATAAAATATATAAAAGAAAAGAAGAAAAATAGAAGAAAAATAAATAAATTAGTATTTTTAAATATTTTAAATAAATAAAAATTGATAAAGAATGAATAGGAAGATAGAAAATATATTTATGAATACTGAATAAGATAAAGATTAAAGATAAAAAAATACAATGTAAATAGACAAATAAATAATATAATTTATTATATAAAGATATAATAAAGCTTATATAAAGATAATCATATTCAAAATGTGTGTATTAAAGACTAGAAAAACTATTTTCAGTCATTATGTTTTACAAAACTTTATAAGAAGAGTCAAAAATTAATTAGAGGTGATGTAACATTGCAGGAAATCGCATTTCCTGTTCTTGCACTAGTGTTTGTATTATTCATATACTGATTTTTGTGCATTCACGTTTGTACATTGAGGTAAAACTGTGTTTGCAGCTTTGGGACTTGCATGGCTGGAGTGCTCCAGTGCAGATTCCTGTGTAAATGGCTGCACAGTGATGTCACTGTGCTTCGGTTTTTTTTTTTTTGCGCCCGGCCATCACTGACACACTAACACGGCGGTGTCAGTCACACTACAATGAAGTGCTTTACTCCCCATGATATAATGGAGACGTGTCACAGTGTCACATTAATTCCGCTCTAATGACTCCCAATGGGGAGCTGAACAGAGCTCCATTAACACTGCTGTCCTACTTCTCTTTGTCCCGCTACTCGTGTCTGTCCGTCTGTCCATCTCCAGACTGTCCAGTTTGTTCAGGGAATCTTTGTGGAGAAATACGACCCCACGATAGAGGACTCCTACAGAAAGGTAGGACCTCTTCATCCTCACACGTTTTTAGAAGCATCTATAGTTTAATTAGTTTTAGTTATAATCCACAGTTATGATTCATTCCTTTTGTTTCTGCAGCAAGTCGAGGTCGATGGACAGCAGTGTATGCTGGAGATCCTGGACACAGCAGGAACAGTAAGACCTGGCTCTGTCTACATACTTTTGACCATGAGATGTGCCTGACTGAGTCCTGGCCACCTGTCTGTCTGTCTTTAGGAGCAGTTCACAGCAATGAGAGACCTGTACATGAAGAATGGCCAGGGCTTTGCTCTGGTTTACTCCATCACGGCTCAGTCCACCTTCAACGACCTTCAAGACCTCCGAGAGCAGATCCTCAGAGTGAAGGACACGGAAGATGTAAGAAACCACAGCACCCTTTACTTTGCCTAAACTCACCCTAACGTGATGAAGGAGTCTGTAGCATAGTGAAGGAGCTCCTGAGTAATTTGTCTGGTTGTAGTTAGTCAGTTGCTGATGTTTGTATTTAAAACTCTTGTTTCTTGGCTCAGAGGAAGTTGCCTAGAAACCAGTGGAGAAGGGGAGAAGTTTCTGGTGGCAGCCAAAAATAGTTTGCCATGACATAAAAATGTAATTTGAGATAAATCAGTTAAATCTGAGTTTAAGAGGAAGTGGACTCTATCACCTCCACATAATCCTGCTGTCAGGCTTATGCTAAGCTAGCTAACTGACTGCTGATGGGTGTATGTGTAATTTATTCTCATGAAACAGAGGTCACTTGTTTTAACACGCCACCATCAGCCAGCCTGTGTGGAGGCCTTTAGCATTGCTCCCCCTGCTAGACATGAGTTACATTACATAGGTTCCAAAAAGTTTTATTTTTAATCAGCATCTAGTGGGGAAAGAAGAAAATAAAAAAACTGCAAATTTGCAATTTAAATGTAAAAGAATAAAAAAGCAAATTTGTAATTAAAAAAATAGAAAATGCTTCTGAACAAGCTTTTAAACAAATAAAATAAAACAAGCAAATGAATTTATAATATCTACATTTAAAATGAGAATAAAACAAAAAAAAGAATTAAAAAAGAAAGAATTAATAAAAAGAAAATATTGTTTTGTACAACATTTTTTAAAAACCCAATATGTTTAATATGTTTCAAGCTAGAAATGTATTTATATTAACATGAATTTAAGATTCTGGATTGATTTAGTCAATAAAATGACTGAATAAAATTTCAAACATGTTTTTATTAAGAAACAGATGATTTACAAAATGGATAAATATAAATAAAAAAATTAAGGAAACATACATTCTGACTTCACGTCAAACGTTACAGATTCTAAAAACCAGATGAAACACTGATGTCCTCTTTTCTGGTTTTCACATTAGTTTTCTCCCGTTAAAATAATCCAGTGATCATCTTTGAATGTGCTGCAAACAGCTGTCTGAATGTGAGTGTTTGGCGTGCCAATTTAGGTTCCCATGATCCTGGTTGGAAATAAATGTGATCTGGAGGTGGAGCGTGTGGTGGCCAAAGAGTCAGGCATCGGTCTCGCTCGCCAGTGGAACTCCTGCGCCTTCCTTGAGACCTCGGCCAAGAGCAAGATTAACGTCAACGAGGTGACAAAACACACCCACAGCAAAGTTTACACAGTTAGTCAGAGCTGTATTTAAACCTAAATATCTTTGGGCTTTTGAGTTTTGAGCACCATTGATTCTGCAAAATGATGTACACATCATCTGGAGTTTGTAAAAAACTGAAATAAAGCTTACAGCGTGCAACACGAGAGAATCACTGTGATGTGTGCGGTCCTGGCTCAAAAACACTGGAAGCTGTAATAATACAAACATCAGACTATTCCTCCAGAGTTTTTGTCATAGACAAAGAAAAAATGGATTTCATTGTTAGTTTCAGACATTTTGAAGCCTTAGCATTTGTGTTTCAGCTGCTGCTCTGTTGGTTTTGGGGATATGACCATTTTAGGACTATTATAGTCTAAATATGCATTTAGACTCTTTCAAACCATCTGTCCTCTCTGTGTACATTTGAAAGAGGAGTAAAAGAGGCAATTTATGTCCACTGTGAGCAACCATCTTTGAACAGAGGCGGTGGTTTACGACACCAACTGTCAGCTCTATAATCCAGTTTTGAGATCCCTCCCAGACGCCTTAACGCCCACTCACATCCCGGGCCATCTGACCTCATGATAGGGTGGGGCCAGGTTTCACAATGAGCTCACCCAAAACCTTGGCTGATTGTGACCTACACCCATTTTCACACCTTGGCTCGTGTGATTAGGTAGAGGATCATTAGGGGGTCCATTGTCCCTCTTGGTGGGTTACTCCCACAGAGCTTAAATCTGGGAGTCCCCACCATTTGACCTTAGAACTGAAGAAGCTTCTCAGAGGTGAAACGTCTTCAAGCCACTTAAAGAAGTCCAGACGCTTTTCTTTCCAAGCTCCTTAGACTACGATGACCTGGATGACTGAGAACCTTCACAGACACATTTTAAGTAGTTTTTGGCATTTTATTAGTAGTTTGGGGAATGTTTGGCAGTGTAGGTTTCATTTCTTCGTGTTCGTTTGCAGATCTTCTACGACCTTGTCCGACAGATCAACAGGAAGAGTCCCGTTCCAGGGAAAACCCGCAAAAAGTCCACTTGTCAGCTTCTCTAATGGCAGGTAGCTGCTATTGTCATGTGTGCGCGCGCACACACACACACACACACACACACACACATTGAGTTTATCACACACGTTGTTGTTCACACACACTCTGGTTCTCTGTGTCCAGATTCCTGCTCACCTGATAACCAACCAACCAATCACAGGACATCTTCCAGCTGGCCACGCCCCTTTAACACAACCATGTCATCATCAGCATCAGCCACTCTGTTACCATGACGATCGCTTCTCCCATCCTTCATCACACTATGTAAAGGAGACTGTTGCCTTGGAAACATTAAAACAGAACATCAAAGGACTGCTACGGTGGTGGCGATGATGATGATGATTCTTCTGTTGCGGGAATGCAGGGGCTTGATTTAAACTACGGTTCCCATCATGCTCTCTGCTAGGCTGTCTTTGCAGTGGGGAGTGGCTTCTTGCTTTTTTTTCTTTTCTTTTTAAAACATTTTAAACTTTTTTTTTTTGTTTCTTTCGCCTTATTGTTTTCCGGCAGCCCTGAGCCAATCACAGGGCCAACCGTCAGCTGTGTTGGCATCGCCGCGGTGATGACGGTGCCGCCGACACGGCTGACCGTGGGTGTGTGTGGCTCTGGTGAAACCTGTGGATTCATACAGTGGTTATTATTACAGTGATTATTATTATTATGATTCTTTGTGAAAACAATTAAGTCATTTTATGTTTTTGATTTTTGGGGCGGGAGGGGTGGGGGTGGGGGTGAGGCAGGGTTGGGGGGTGTAGCAGCAGGTCAAGAGGTTAGCTTACTGTGCTGATAGCAGTGCCGTAATTAAAATTAGCCTAAAGTTAACAAACTGGGTGGAGTCAGGAAGAATACAGATATAACGGGAAGATGTTAGGTGGCTTGTTGCCATAGCAGCATGGCGAGCTGACTCCTGATCTGCTGCTCAGGGCGGACATGTTGCCTTTTTGACAGCAGACTCACACTGGTCCAGTACCTTAACTCTGTGTGTGTGTTTGTTTGTGTGTGTGTTTGTGAGTGTATGTGAGCTACGTAACAACAGTGAAGCAGGCCACTTTCTGTAATGATCGTTTTTTGACCTGCGGGGTTGAAACACTGAATTATTGGTCCTTTAGTCACTTTAACTGATAAGATATTAAAGGGGGCCTGTCATGCTCATTTTCAGCTCTATATTATTTCCACTAGAGCAGTTTTACCTGATTTAAAAGTAAATTAATGCCCTTACTGTCCTTTCCCGGCCCTGCTTAAAATGAGCCATTTTAACCCGTCGCTTTAAGGGCATCCCCATCCCTGAAAGCCCGCCTTCTTCTAATCGGTCCACTGATGGGAGCCTGCAGAGGGGCAGCACCAAAAACAAACTGAAGCCTGAGCTTTGTGTGTACAAGTACAGCTTTCACACGTTTTCATCCCATTATTTAAAACTATGGCCATGTTTAAAATAAATATCTGGCATTAAAGTTTAGAAAGGAGTACCAGGACCATATTAGGAAAAAAATGTGTTTGTATTGTCAGAATAAAGTTGCAGAATGATGTAGGTATTTCAACAATAAAGTCAAGAGTTTGAGAATAAAACTGAAATAAGATTTTAATTTTAAAAAAGTCAAGATTTTGGAAATAAGGTCAAAATTATGAGAAACAAAGTAAAGCTTATGAGAGTCAAGATTTCAAGAATAAACAAAAAACTAACAAAGCATAATCGGTCCCCTTTAAGCTTCTGATGGATGGATTCCCAAATACAACCAGGAGAAGGCGGAATTTCTTGTATTCTTGGTACGTCGTGCTAACACTTTAGCGTGCCCCGTGCTGAGTAATACTTAAATGTTAAATTGTTAGCATCGATAGATGGAGGTGTTTTCTTATCAGTTGAAGAACAAACTTAAAGTCTCAGTGTTTCAGTTTAATAGTAGCATGGCTGCAGTCCAGCCTGAGGGGGTTAAACCCACAGAAATCCTTTGAATATGTGTTTGTGGGCGTGGTCAGCTCACGGGAAACGCTTGCTGGACCCGTGACCTCTGTGAGTGCTGCTGTGCACAGTGTTGTACTATCAGCGGGGTACTGCTGTCAGTATTCTGGGTCTCCTCCAGTGTCTTCAGTCATGTAGCATGTTGATGTTTCTGCCAGTACCGGGTCTGACCTCCAGGAGGTGCTGCTGCAACAGTTTGCATGACACGAGCAGAAGCTTCCGGGCCGGAGGGCCATTTGTGGCTGTGGCAGGCCGATTGCCAACTGTTTCCTGCAAGCACGTTATGATGATTCCAGCTTTATTCTTGTAATATCAACAGAGGAGGGGCTCAATACTGCCTCTGTTGGTCGTAAAGCAGAAAACACCCACTGCTGTTATTTCTGAAAGCTGCAGGTATAATAGGTGTTTCTGTGTACGCCACAAGGGGCAGCGCAGAGCACCTTTTATAGCCAAAAACAAACATGGATTATAAAAAATACACCCCATCGTACTCTTGATAATGTTTATAAGCCACTTTCATGACAGTTTAAAACAATATGAGGCCATTTTTAAGTATATTTTATCACTTCTCCTACACAGTATCCATAACTGGTGTATTAGCAGTTAATGACTGATGATTAATGATGATTAGCAAGCATATTTAGTTACATATAATGGTGTGATTATGTTTATTTTAACTGTTTATTCACATATACATTGAGCATTGCAGTGTATTCTCAGTGTTGGAAAGTATTTCTTCATGTATCAATAGAGACGCTTCATATTATGTATTCATTTATGTGATTATAGCTGATTATGGTTATGAGTAATTCATTAAGAGGGGAAATGAGGTGATAAATGCTTGAAATGTCCTTTTATCTGTTTAGAACTGCTTCAAAGTGAGTTTGTTAAGGGTTCTGGTTTTAAAGCGGGAGTTTCATCCTCAGAAACAACTTTTAGTCATTTCGCTGGCCAGCCGTGGCTGCACTCTGACCTTTCGGGCCTTCGCCCAGAGGCTATGGTGCCATTCGTCATTTCCTGTGACTTCTGAAGGCGTCAGTGTGGTTTAAGAAGAAGAAGAAACAAGTCTGATGTTTTGGAAAAAAGTTCTTTAGATCTCTTAATTGTGTGAGAATCAACAGAAGCAGCTGTGTGAAAACACGATAAAGGGAGCTAGGCCTTATTTTCACACATCTGCAACGATGGTGCAGACTGAAAAGTAGCTGCAATTGTTGCTTTGAAGACGCGAAGCCAGGACTGAGTGTTTGGACAGAAACAGATGTGTGTTAAAGTCTTTACACACTTCATTTAAAGCGCACTGAGGCCTTGACAGCTACAGTAAATAGGTGCAGATGGTAACACTTCACTTTAAGTGCCCGTATTTGGCATTTAAGAGCAGCATGTAAACATTTAATAGAAGTGGTATTGCTGTACGGCAGCTGTAAGCAGATATGAACATGTAAATGTGACTAAAAACAAAATCTGACTACATTTCATGTGTTTAAGCATTAAAGTTCACTCTTACAGCTGCATTACAGTGTGTCACAGACCATGTGAGGCACATTTACATACTTCACTCTGCTTTCCAGTCCTCAATCGGATGTGAGGTTGAAGTGACCATGGCAGCCACAGCCGAATGCAAACTGGAATGAGCAGTTCACAATACGAAGAAATTATTTTTATTTTTTTTTCTCAGTACTGATATAATTCTGCTTCTTTTTCTCTGTATGGCATGATGACCAGTGAAATGTAAAAGAAACCAGTTCAACCAGTGATGTATCAGCTTTGAAAAAATAAAGGAAAAAAAACCACCCAGTAAGCTGCTGGGAGATTAAACACTGGTGCTGAAATGGTCTGAACTGGTTTCTTCCCAGTACGGAAACCCACAGTGGCAGCAGGAGGCAGGGGGAGGGGAGGGGGCAGTGAAGCCAAATGTAAAGTTAAAAACTAAAAAGCCTTAAATGAATAAAAGTGGTGCAATTTTGTAACAGCAACCTGTGATGTGGAGTCATTCTGAATTTCAGCCACTCGTAGAAATCAAACGGCGCAAATCGCTGGAGCTCTAGTTACCATCTTCAAAGATCCGTGCCGACGATTGAGCTGCAAAACCAAGAAATGGTCACTGGGACTTCTTCAGCATCACAGACAAGGCTGTGTCCTATCTCTGCTCCTCTTCTTTGTCGCCCTGAACCTGTTTAGAAAGGCCTCAGCGACCTGGACTTTGGCCTACACCTTCGCTTTGCACAAACAGGATGAGATGAAGCTGCCAGATATGACAACCAAGAAGCCACCAAGATGGACATTAAATACTCAGAGAGCACTTCCTACTACTGGACATATTCAACCAGTCACACACACTCACACTCTGATGGATGCACCAGGGGAAACTCTTGAGTTCAGCATCAGGAATCATCCAGCAATCTTCCAACTGGTAGATGACCTGCTCTACCACCTGAGCCGCATTGTGTGCGGATGTGGAGGCAGATGTTGGGGATCTGCATCAAGTGCATATATGTCATGGCCTGAGGTTGGGTAGTGTGCATCAGTGTGAAACATGGGTATTGGAAGGTGGCAGCTGTGGGAACTAGAAGCTTAGTGTCATAGAATTCATAAGATCTAATACTTCTATCACATCACCACCAAAGTGGTGAACAAGTGGTTTGTGTAAACCCCAGATTACCGTCACCCACAGAAGACTGACTGATCCGTAACATCTTCAGCGTGGAGAACCATCAGATCTGGTGGTACTGAGATCAGAATCTCTGTTTGAAGATTAATGAATGAAATAATATATGCTTTAATAGATTATGACCTGAATCATTAGTGATGTCAATGCTGTCAACTGTTTCTGCATTATGAAGCCTAAACATTACCATCTTGTTCACTTTTGGAGCCTGAAGTGAACATAAATCACTGTAAAACATAATTCTCTGAAAAGCTGTTGTTAAAAGGAAAATGTTAATAGAGGCAGCATGTTTTTTTTAACCAGGCTGTAAAGTGGATGGTGGTTTGGTTTTAAATGGGAGCCTCTGGTGGACGTTGGAGGAACTGTTGGTTTTGTCTCTTCAGCACTTCAGCTGGATTTAACGTGTCGGTTTCTGTTTCTATATAAAATACCAGATGTCTATGCTGCATTTCGACTTTTCCAGTAGGAGAAAACTAAACACCACAGTATGATTTTTCACAGGTGAGTACCTCCTGTGGGACATTTCACTGTTATGAATATGTTAAAATATCACAATAAATAATAGTTATTTTAATCCGACTAAACTGACTTAAATCTTGGTTTACATAAACGGAATAATTAAAATAATGTAACCAGGAAATTCATGAGAATTATATTTGTCTGTTGAATCTGTTACCCATTTATTAGACCTTCATATCTGAGCTGCAGCTGTCCAGTTTTCTGTTTAGCCCCTTTGACGACTTTGAGCCACGTGATTGATCTGCAGCTCTCACAACTTGACAACAGGTCAGTACACGTGTTGAAATAATTACGGTATTTTTAATTTGATGTTTACAAGCTGCAGGATTGTAAAATAAATATTAGGCAATATATTATTATACATAATTATATAATAAGTTAAAACATTTTTTATTTAAGTAAACTTCCGGTTTCGAAGACCGAGCTGTAGCATTTGTAACACATCCAAGTGCTTTATTAATGGTGGTTTTACCCTGTTTGGACCTCTGCCTTCATAAGCTACCCCGGAGCAATATGTCGGTCCAGTGACGCACCGTCCTACGCCGCCCCGCTGTGGACGCGCCTGC